GGTATTGTTTACTAAAGAAATTGCTTTTCACTGTACTAACAGAAGAGTGCTTTAGTTTGAAAACTAGGTTAGCCACTCCAGACCCTCCACTTCCTCTATTACAGGTCCGTAGAATATCCCATTGTTCCAGGTTCCCATGGATGCTAAAATGAACTGTTTGTATTCCCCTTCAGAAATAAAAAACTTGTTTCTCCAGCCTCTGAGAGTGCTACCATAAAATAGCTTGTAGTTTTCAACTCCCTAGGGTAGTCTTAGCAAACTAATACTGGACCCATTCCAGGATTTGCTTCTAACTTCCTTTCTAGTGGCCAATAACAAGAGTTAAGACATGAAATAAGTTGACCAAATTTGTGCTGGTGTTGCTGAAGGAAGAAATGTACTGTACCACACAAGAGCTACGGAAGCTACCCACATCTACCCATAAAAGCTAGAATACACATGGGACTGGATTCTAAAGGTGCATGATCAAATGGTGCAGAACATAAAGTTAGATAAGAGTTTATTCAGAGTACTCTTCTGGCCTGAAGGATTTTTAATATCCTGACAAGAATCCCAAGAGATGGTTCTTAGCAAGAACACACTGCTAAGATAGTTCTTAGAAGCATGGAAAAAGCAATGGTCGACCTAATGGCATGTATAAATATTTAAAAGCCATGGTACATGATGCAAAAAAGGGTTAAAACACCCAGAAAATCAGGCATCCTGTGTGGATGTACTATATGAGTTTGGAAAACACAGCAGGTGACGAAATTCAGAACAAGAAATGTACCATTGAAGGGCACACCAACATCACTATACAGTGAGTGGTGGCTGTTCTATGAGCTGATGGCAAGTGATACCATTATAACACTGGGCTCACAGAGAGCAATGGAGATGATAAAATCCTGAATAATAGAGACCAGGTGGCAGCACTTAACAATTAGACACCTCAGAAACCATGTGGACACAATTACTGTAATGAATATTGAGAACTGCAAGACTCTCAACACATAACAACTCTGTCAAAAGCCCTCCACTGAGAGACTTGACCAAATTTTAGCATTTCCTCTAGCAGCATAAAGTGTCCCCTGGGTGATCGTAGGTCCCTACCCCCAATTAAAAGCCTGTCTGAGAACGCTCATTGCTACCAGAAAAATCTACTTTTTGTTGTACCTAACACATGATAATAGGCCCTGATCTTCTTTCTTAGAGCATGTATTTATTAAAAGGAGTTTACGGTTATAAATATATATCCTTTGCAGCTCACAGGTTTCTTTCTCCAGTGACCTGGGAACCATTCTTTTTAAGAATAGTTATCAAGCCAGGATAAAGCCTCTGTTTTCCAGTCTCTGTGAGGATAGAATCCTACCTTTGATAATTAACAGCTAAGAAACACAACTATCCTAATCACATTAACACTGACCAACCCTTTGTACTTTTTTACTTCTCTGACTGCTGAGCCCCTACAACCCCCTACTCCCACTCTCCTTTTGAAACACTCAAATCACCTCTGTACAAATCAGAAGGTAACCCAGCTCTTTCCCTTACTGTTAACAATTACCAAATAAAATTTGTTTTCACTTGTTTAGTATTGGGTCATATTTATCTTTGACAACAGGTAGGCTGTGGGGGATGGGGACAGTGATCCACAGTTATGGAGATACTTAATAGAACATTGCATCTCTAGAGGCCAAATGAATGGATCATCAATGGAGTACTCAGTCTTTACAACTAAATCAATGATGGGTGATTGGGAGGATGAAGGCTCAACAAGAGGTCATGATTCTTCCCTAGTTTCCGAATCTCAGTCAATTTTTGTACCCAGAACTCACTGAAAGAGAAGTTGGGTCCCTAGGAGGAGAGACCCTACAGTATCATGGCAAGAAACATATGGTATTGATTTCCTCAGACTTCCTCCAAAGGAATTTATAGCCTTTAACTCAGGTAATTACATACTGGAGAAAGGGGAATGCCCAATCATTTCAAGGTCTGTTTACCACAGGGTCAAAGTTGACACAGGACAAAAGACCCAAAATATCATCATGGCCTCTCTGACAGAGTGGGGGGCATTTGAGGTCTAGGTAATAACTAAAATGCTAGGATTTAGGATTTAGATCTAGTATTTTGGTTATCTAAAATGCTAGATCTAGTTCATACAGAATCCACTAGTCTGTAGACCTATATGTCATGTGTCTAGTCCCTGAATTTGTAATTGGAATAGATAAACATTGTTTTCTTGACCTATGGGGTAAGAACTATCATAGTGTGAATACTAGTTTTCTAGGGCTGCTATAACATAGTACCACAATTGAGTGGCTCAAAACAACAGCAATTTATTCTCTGACAGTTCTAGAGGCCAAAAGTCCAAAATCAAGCTGTCAACAGGGTTGGTTCATTTCTGTATACTCAGAGGGAGAATCCGAACCATGCCTCTTTTCTAGCTTCTGGTAGTTGCTGGAAATTCTTGTTGTTCCTTAGCCTGCAGATGTTTATCTCCAGTCTTATCACATGCTGTCTTCTCTTCTTCAAAGGTTGCCAGTCATTTTGAATTTAGGGCCCACCCTACTCCAATATTACCTCATCTTTTTACATCTGCAAAGATCCTTTTTCTAAATACCGTCACATTCTAAGCCTCCAGGAAGGACATGAATTTTGGGGAAACTACAGTGGGAAAACTGTCCTAGCCCCATCAATATAGGAAATAAAAACATTTCATTTTGGGAAAGGAGATGGGAAAGGAATGGAAGAAATTAGTGCCACTTTTAAAGACCTAAAGGTGCAAGTGGGAGGGAGATGGTCTTTATAATTTTTCTGTGTTAATATACTAATCTTGCTCCTGCAAAAATCCAATTCTAGAGGAGGATATTAATCTAGAGCAAATTCAGCCAACTGGTGGCTTCAGTTGAGTAGCTTAACCAGACGTGCTATCTTTGCCAGAGCTGATTAAGAAGAGCTTCTGTCAGCCACGTGCAGTGGCTCATGCCTGTAATCCCAGCACTTTGGGAGGCTGAGGCAGGCAGATCATGAGGTCATGAGATCAAGACCATCCTGGCCAACATGGTAAAACCTCGACTCTACTAAAAATAGAAAAATTAGCTGGGTATGGTGGTGCATACCTGTAGTCCCAGCTAACCTTGGCACTATTGACATTTTGGGCTGGATACTTGTTTTGTTGTGAGAGTCTGTCCTGTGCATTGTAGGGTATTTGTAACATTCCTAGCCTCTTCCCAGTAGATGCCAGTAGCACCCTCTCCCAAGTGACAATCAAAATGTCTCCACACTTTGCCAAATATCTCCTGAGAGAGGGTTGGGGTTGCAGTAGTAGGAGGAAGACAAAATTACTCCCATTTGAAAATACTGATTTAGTGCATGGATTTGGGTTGAAAATTGATTCATTTGTCCAAAGGTGGAAAAGCTAGTTTTACAATTTTTCTGTGGTTTTTCCCTACACAAGTAATGTTTCATACTCTGTGCTCAGAGGAGGTGGGTTCTTGATTCTGGTTCACTCAGATTGAGGTAGTAGAAAGAAAATTTCAGTTCTAATATTGTATTAAATACATTCTGTCAGAGTTTTATAGACTCTATCTGCAAACTTATTCTCAAGGTCTGTGCATGTTTGAATGCATGTCTTCATTCAGTGCTGTTTTGAGTTAACCTTATCTTTGAATATCTTATGAACTATCTTCTTACATGTGAAGTTATTTATTTACTATTCTTAAGTCATTTCTCAGTGAGGTCCCCAATTTGGGACTACTCACTTTGGGCAGGGGGATCACTATTTACAAGCCTGCATTATGAGTATTAGATAAGTGCCCTGGATAAAAATAAACTCTTCATAAAGACAGTGTGGCAGATCCACAGTTTGAGTAGCTTTGCTTACATTTTGAAGTTCAAAGAAAGAATCTTTTCAGAAGATTTCTACTGGTACTATTGACTTATGGCCATTACAATCATTATATATAAAGTTATTGTAAGATGCAAACCCAGGATCTTATCTTGGTCCTCATGGTCGTTCTCATGCAGCTGAGGATACAAAACCTATACGGCAGACAACTGAGAAAAAAGTTGAGAAATGAATTGTATAGAAAGCCACTGGAAGTTTTTCTTTGCCTAAAGCTCAAAAGAATTTTAAATGTACAATTTAAATTCAGAGCTGTAACTGTGCTGGGGGACAATGAATTTCACACTGAAATGCCACAGTGCCAAGATTATTTAAAAGTATTGTATCTCCAACTTTAAAATTAAGTATTTTTTTTTTTTTTTAAATCTCAGTAACCATGAGAGATACTGTTTCTTATCTTGATAGGTGGAAGCAGCACAAGCAAGATATGGGTGGATGCCTAGTATGTCTAGTAGAAATGGGGCCGAAAAAAAGTGAAACTCTGACCACCAGATGGCAGCAGAGGCTTGTGCCAAAAGGATACCTTTCTGGTCCCAGAAAGGGGTGGGGTAAGGCCTCTTGAGCAGCGGTGGTGCCAGCAAGGCAGTCTAAGCCAGAACTGAATGAACTAAGAAGCCAGAGCTTAACTCTTCTGAGCCAGAGTCACCCAAGTGCTAGTTCATTGGAGAAATGGTGAGGCAGTAACAGAGTTCAAGAGATTAGAAAAAAGAGTAAGAGGGGTGAGCCAGAAGATAATCCTAGCCATTCACCAAACTTGAAGGCAGAATAGCTAGGGGTTAGAAAGGATAGGTATGGTCCTTAGAAAGGACAGGGCAAGAACTTGAAGTTAGATTGTAATCACCAGTTATAAATCCCTCCTTTGTTCTCTCTGAGGAGCCACAAAATAGGAAACTTTTCAGGCACTCTCCAAATGGCACAGAATCTTGTTATGTCTAATACTGAAAGTAAATTTTATCGATAACTGGGATAACTTGGAGGGAGATGGGCAGAGATGTTTAAAGGAAACCTCCAGAAAATGTGTTTTTTGAGTATTATCTTTTTAAATAAAGATATAACCATAGTCTCTAATCTAATTTTTCACTTCTCTCACTTCTTTTGCTTCAAAAGGTAAAACCAGTGATATTCACATCCTTCAGAAGATTAGTATTTTTTTCCTTAAAAAAATCACTATTTAAGAATTTCATTGATAATTCCCACTGGGAGAAAGCATCAAGGTAAGCAAAATACAAGTGGCATTTTAATTGAAATATTTAAGAAGTAAAACAATTTCAACTGTAAGAAGAGACTTGATATATAAGAACTAAGCATTAAAAATCTCAGTTAACATTAAGTGAAGGTTTACTCTGTAAAAGGCATGGTTTCATTGCTGTATGCACATTTTGTAAACTGTTGGTTCATTGACTTGCAGCATCAAAATTATCTGGGAGAATGATGCCAGCAAGACGACAGCAATGATGCCAACAAGAAGGTAACCCATTCATAGCTCCCCATCCCCCATAACAACAATATTTCTGCACCACCACAGAGCAAAGTCTCTCTGCAGGAGCCTCAGGATTCAGGTATAAGGTTGCGAAGCCCCAGTGCATCCCAAGACCTAGAGGGCTGTTTTGAGAGTGCAGACTAGCACCTTAGTGGCTGATCTACTGATTTTGCTTGTGGGTTCAAGCCTGGAAATGGCACCATTCTCCTAGGAGGTTGGCTAAAAACCCATCTGGTCTTGAGCCTAAAACCAAAACCATCTGCCAAGGAGTACAGAAAGAATCATGCACACTAGTGCTTCAACAGAGAGCCTTCTCTGCCTGCTGACACTGAATCTGAAACTTGCCCTGTGACTTGACTCCAGCCCTTCTCTGCTGAAGTCCCAGCTCAGAACTGCTTACACAATGACCTAGAGTGAGACTCACCCATATCTTTCATCTTGGAAGTCTGCACTTCCATATTGTGCTCCCTAGCCTCTGTCCCATAATAGATCCTGAGAGAAGCCAGCCTCAGTTCTGATCCTTCTGCAGTCAGGGAACTAGCCCATCTGTGCAGAGACCTGCTGGGAGATGCACACTTATCTGAGTTAATAAGACAGGCTTGCCAGCTGCCATTCTGTAGCAGATTGAAGGGCCCCCCAGTCTTAGCCCTGGCCTTTCCTGCTGCAATCAAGGAGCTACCTCACCTGTGCAAGGACTGCTAGGAGATGGACATCCATCTTAGCTACCAGAACAGTCTTCTGAGGCTTAGGTTTCTGGCCAGATTTTTCATACAGCCTGAGTACTCTCCTTGGGTCTTCACCAGGTCTATCTGGAGTAGAATGTTGCATAAATCTCAGAGCTCCGACAAGACTCACTGCAAACCTGAGCTTAGCATGCCCTTTAATGCTCTAATGCTGAAATAGCTGTACTGGTCTTGGGCTCAGGGAAGACAATAGTCAGTCTCCTTAGAGTCTGTGGAAGATCTGCTGAAGCAGAATGGACATAAAGCCAGATTGAGGTGGCTAGAATAAATGTCCAGTCTTTCAAAGTACAGACATTGTCACACATCCACAAGCATCAAAAACATTTAGAGAAATATGACCTTACCAACTGGACAAAATAAGGCATGAGGGACTGACCTAAAGTGATGGGAACTGTGATCTTTCAGACAAAAATGGTAAAATAGCTGTTTTAAGGAAGATCAATGAACTTCAAAAATATACAGAAAAACAATTCGGAGATTTATGAGAGAAATTTATTGAAGATTGAAATAATAATTAAAAAACACGAACATGCTGGGGTGGAAAAATATAGGGAACACAGTGAAAAATGAAATGGAGACCATGAAAAGCAGAACTGATCAAATAGAAGAAAAAAAGTAATGAACTCAAAGACAGGCTATTTGGAAATCATCAAAGGAGGAAAAAGAATGGAAAAAGCAGTGAAGAAGGCTTGTGGAATTGATGGGACAACATTAAAAGAGAAAATATTCCAGTAGTTGGAGTTAAAAAGAGGGTTGAGAAAGACAAAGCAGTGTGAAGTTTATTCAAAGAAATAATAACAGAACTTTCCAAACGTGGGGAAAGATATAAATGTACAGGAACTGGGAGATCAAAGCTCATCAATCAGATCCAACCCAAATAATAATACCCCAAGACATAATCAAACTTTGGAAGGTTAAAGACAAATAGAGATCTCTGAAAATAGAGAAAGAAAAGAAGCAAGTAGCATATAAGGGAACTCCAGTACACCTGACCTGACAACAGACTTTTCAGCAGAAACCTTAAGGCCAGGATGGAATGGAACATGATGTATTCAGAGTACTGAAGAAAAATAAAACTGCCAATCATGAATAATGTATCCAGTAAAGCTGTCCTTCAGAAATGAAGAAGAGATAAAGACTTTACTAGACACACAAAAGCTGAAGGGAATTCATTACTGTTAGCCCTGTCCTATAAGAAATACTGAAGGGAGTTATAATCTAAAGAAAAGAATGCAAACATGATTGTTATTCTAATGCTATAATTGTGGAATTATATCTTATATCTTTAGTATGAAGAATAAAAGAAAACTTAAAAATAATAACTGAAAAGAGAGTATAAAATGTAAAATATAAAAATGTTAACTGACATCAAAATTCAAAATGTGGGAGGACAATGAAATTACGTGTACAGTTTTTTGTTATTTCTCTTTTCTTTGTTATCAAACTTAAGAAATTATTTTTAAATGACTTGTTATCAACTATCAGATTTTTTTCAGCCTTATGGTAACCACAAAGCAAAAATCTATAATAGATATATTAAAAAGCAAGAAATCAAAACACTGCTAGAGAAAATCATTTACACACAAAGGAATATTGTAAGAGAAGAAAGGATCTACAAAACAACTAGAAAACAGGTATCAAAGTGGCAGTAATCCCTTATCTATCAATAATTAACTTGAATGTAAATGAAATAAATTCTTCAATCAAAAGACATAAAGTGGCTGATTGAATAAAAAGCAAGTCCTTGCTATCTTTGGCCTACAAAGACTCACTACACTTGTAAAGACACATGTGTATTGAAAGTGAAGAGGAGGAAAAAGATACTCCATGCATACAGAAACAAAGAGTAGGAATAGCTATACTTATATCTGACAAAATAACCAACACTCTAAAATGAAATAAAGCCATTATGTAATGATGAAAAGGCCAGTACAGCAACAGGATACAATAATTATAAATACATATGCACTCAATGTAAGAGTACTAAAATATATAAAGCTAATATAAATAGATCTAAAAGAACAAATATGCAGCAATAAATAATTGTAAGGAACTGGAATGGACAGATCTTCCAGACAGAAAATCGACTAAGAAACATTGTAATTAAACCACACATTAGACCAGATAGACATAACAGACATTTACAAAACATTCTGTCCAATAGCTGCAGAATACATGTTCTTCTGAATGCACATAGAATATTCTCCAGGAAAGGTCATATGTTAGGCCACGTAACAAGTCAACAAGTTTAAAAGAATCAAAATTATCTTAAGTATTTTTTCTGATCACAATAGAATAAAACTAGAAATCAATAACCAGAGGAATTTTGGAAATGGTACAAGTACATGAACATTAAACCACATCCTCATGAACCACTAATGGGTCAATGGAGCAATTGAAAAGGAATTTTTAAAAAAATTATTGAGTCAAATATAAAGGGGGAACATGATATACTTGAACCAATGGGATACAGCAAAAACAGTTTTAAGAGGGACATTTACAGCAGTATTTGTCTACATCAAAAAACTAGAAAGATCTCAAATAACCTAACATGGCAACTCAAGAAACTGGGATAACAGGAGCAATTTCAACTCAAAATTAGTAGAATGAAACAGACAAATACACAGGAGAAGGCCATTTGAAGACACAGGCACAGAGAAGAGAGAATACCATGTAATGACAACACAAATATTAGAGTTATATAGATGCAAATCTAAGAATGACAAGGGTTACTGGCAATCACCAGAAGCCGGGAGAGAGAACATGGATTTTCAGATATGACAATGATTTTTTGATTTCTGGACTCTGATACTTCGAGAGAATCCATTTTTAAGGTACCTAGTTTGTAGTACTTTGTTATGGCAGCTCTAGAAAACTAATACAATGGAAACTTGGGCAGTGAATGTGAGAAGATGAGCTACTTTATAAGATGTTTAATAAGGTAGCTTAAGCAAGCTGGCAGTGACAATATTTTCTCATATGTAATTGCCAGGCATATCTAAAGAAAGATAGAAAGAGAGAAAAGATTATAGCAGTCCCTGCCATGATCTGCTAAAGAAGAGAAGAGATTATAATAGAAGTTAACAGTAAAATTAGATAAGCAAGAAAGCCAGATTTATAGAATAGGTCATGGAATTTGATTAAAGTATTGTGCAGTGGTGTTGAGTTTAGAAAAGATTGGCCCAATTTCCTCTGGAAATTAGAATGAAATAGAAACACATGAAGGAAAACTTCTGCCAAATTCTCTCTCATTGTTCACTAATATGGCACATTTGCCTGCTGAAAGCCATGGTGCTTTCAGACTTCAAGGACTCGAGCAAGGAAAAGTTTGATGAGGAGGGGCAGGTTGATGTTATGTAATATAGATGTGCATAAGCCTAAATCTGGAGTATTTCAACATTCTGACTGTAGGAGAACTGTATAATTATAAATGTACAAAGGCTTAGAATGGAAAGGGTCCAAATCCTATTATAAATGTGTAACAGAGACCTGAATATGAACTCTCCAAGAAGCACAAACAATGAGTGACAGGTCTGCAATGCAGGTTTCAGACTCAACTTTACCATATTGGAGATTAAAATCCCTAAAAATATTGTCCTGGTGTGTTTTTTATTGCTGTAACAGAACACCACAGATTTAGTTGTACCTAGCAGAATGGGTAATTTATAAAGAAAATAAACTTATTTCTCACAGTTCTGGAAGCTGAGTAGTCCAAGAACATGGCACTGGCATCTGTGAGGGTCATTCCACGGTGGAAAGGTGAAAGATGGAAGCATGTGCATGAGACAGAGGGAGAAGGAATTGGGCCTAACTCATCCTTTTACCAGGAGCCCGTTCCCAAGATAATAGTATTAATCCATTCGTGAGGGTGGAGCCCTCATGAGCTAATCACCACTTCTAAAGGCTCTGCTTCTCAATACTGTTTCATTGGTAATTAAATTTTAACATGAATTTTAGAGCAGACATTAAAATCACAGCAATTATGAAATAAAAATATTTTTAAAATTTGATGATTAAGAAGAGTGTATGTCTGTATTATAGTATGAGTTTAGTTGTTTTCGCCACCCATTTAAATGAATATTACCATTAATATCTGGGATTGGAACCAGGTTAAGTTTCATGTTTTCCGTTTCATGAACTTTTACTTCTAGTAATGATTTTGGCTGAACAGAAAGAGAAATGTCACTAACAAAGAAAAGCAATTAAAGTATGCTTCCTTTGTTGTTACTGACATTTACAATTAAAGGAACCATCTATTTTCATATTCCTAATGAAAATGGTAATCATTTGAAGAGTCTCTGAGTCCTTTACCCTTTCTGTCTCTGTCATTTTCATGAATGATTATTAGCTTCTGTATGCATAATAAGAAATGTATTATAATAGTTAAAATCACATAATAATATTTTCAGGGTTAATAAAGAGGGGTTATTTGCCATCCTGAGAATATTCCATTTAGTTGTAGCTGAAAAAAAAAGTAAAATTATAAAAGTTATGCCCATCTAGTCTATACCACTAAACTTTGAAAATGGGTATTAGATATCATTGTCTTGATTAGCATCATTTTCATAGTTGGTAGTTAAGAGTGAGGGATCTTGGAGTCCAAACACTATTCTGGACTCATCTGTTGGCTTCATACTTATTTAAACATTTGCAAATAACTTCACCTCTTAGCCTCACCTTTCAAATTTGTTTAATGGATGTAAATCGAATACCAACTTTGTAGGTTTGCTTTGGTATCAAATGGGAGAATTCATTTAAACCCTTAGAATACTTTCTAGTACATAGGAATTAGTGAATACAAGGAACCATTTAACTGAACTTAGTTAACTTTCAGGTGAAGCTTTCTCATTGGAATGATTCAGATTTCTGAGATGAGCAATCCTCATTTTCTCTCTTTCTGTTCAACTTTTTCTTTAATTTGCTCCGTTTTTAGCTTGGCTGTCACATTTGTAATTATTAAAAAGCCGTGTAATTGTAAATATGTACTTATCCAGGGCTGTGCGTTTTTGCTTTTGAATCTGATCACTTTTTTGTGTGTACGCCAAAAAGATAGAGCAATAAACAAATACCACATGACATGTGCAGCCAAAAATTACGCTCTCTGAAGAGTAACTGGACAAGAAGAAAAACATAGGGAAAAAGAGAACAGAATTCGTTGGCATGTTCTACACACAGACCATGCCTTTTCAGAAGTCAAACTAAATAACAGTTTAAAAAGAGGCAACCATTTGTAGAGGAGTCCTCGAAGGATTCTTCACTGTTTTATTGGACAAAAAGAGACCAGTGGCTCCAAGTGCTTCTAAACACTTCTCTCTTACTTTCCTAACTGTAAGTTAAAATTTGTTTTACATTTTCACTTTGTCTAAGGTCATTAAGATATAAAGTATATAGCCAATGCCAGACATATTGATTGAAAGTGTTACAATTATATTTATCAGTTGTTCTAAATTATTTTATGTTTTATGTTACAGTGCTAGTGAGTTATTTCATTAAAGAAACATATAACATTTTAGTGTGATAAAATGAAAAATGACTAGATTCAGAGGTATGTATAAATATTATCAGACAATAAATTCTCTCTCTGACACTGCTCTGAAGATCCTTTTGAGAATTTGTAAGGTTTTACTTCTTTAGAATGTGTAAGCATTAGGACAGGTTCCTTTTTCCTGTGTTCTTTTGTTCTTTTAAAATGTTTTTTGTGGTTTGCTTATGGAGCTATTTAAATAGACCTCTGTATCCATAAGTGAAGATTGGTGTTTTAATGTTTCTGCTTTCTTAAGTTAGAAGTTAGATATTATATTGAGTTTAGCTGGCCTTGCCTTTTATTTAACGAGAAAAAGTATAGCAAGTTCTCTGAACACTGTAATTTGTATATAACATCAACATTTATTCAAAGGAACTTCAGCAATCATAGTTGTGATACCAAATGATCACCTCTGGAATTTCAAACTGAAGGCAAAGAATAAGGATTATTACAAATCAATTACTCTAGTCATATTAGCTAATGTTTTTGGTTTTAATCTGTGTGTATCTTACACATTTACTTCAGAAATGGAAATTTTAAAAAGAGGAATTAGCTTTTTGGGATTCTAAGAATGACTATAATGTTTTCGACTTTGCTTTACCCAGTGGTTAACAAGATATCAAATAAATGTGCCCAAATGTGCAATTCAAAATAAGACTGCTTGTGGTCAAATCGCTGACTGATAAGGAACTGCAAAGTGGTTTCTTCCTGTTAAACTTTTATTTCTTAACAAGTAAAGAGGAAGTGTTTTTGGGATTCTAAACATTACTAAGATCTTACTGAGGGATTTACTTTTAGTGGTTGTAGTGTTAAGATTTCACAGAAAAAAGTGACTTCTGAGACAAAAGGAGAAAGGACTCATATACCATCACCTTTGTCTCCCTCATAGGCATAAAAGTCTGGAGAGAAATACCAGCTGAGAGGACATTTTACAATTATTAATACTTTGTATTCTTTTTAAAAATCCTGATTGAATATTTTACTACAATGTCATATAAGGCATTTAGTTGGTGCATCTTAAAATTAAGCTTTTAAAACATGCAAAGTCTTTTTGTAACTGAACTTTCTTTTATTCTTTTCTTCCCCTAGTTATTGCTCTACAATATTTACTTTACCCTGTCAGTGAATATGACAAAATGATTAAAAAAGAAATAAGTGTGTGTCAACAAATTCAGACTCTTCTGTGCAAGAATTTTCTTAGAAAATGGAGAACAAAAAGAGAGAATTTATTGGTATGATTCATAATATATATAGTTTTTCATAGCTAATAAATGAAAATCCATTATGTAGTATGCCATTTTTATTGTTTATAAATTTTGATTTTTAATTATTATACTGGCTAGTCAATTTGAGATTCTAAATACTGCAGAATGATATATTTTGCAAAATAGGGTAATATTTATGTCAAAGGTGAAATTAACTAAAGAGCTCATCTGACAGTTACTAAAAAATAATCTTTTGCAGAATAGAACCAGCCATTTTCCACATAATTAATGCATTCAAATCTCAGAGTTATTCTGATTTACCCTTAGCTAACTTCATTGTTGGGGGCAGGGACAGCCAGGGGAAAGATAAGCTAGGCAAAATAAAATAGACTTTTAAATGGGTCAACGCTGATACTATTTGGGGACATTTCAATGAATAGCATGTTATTTGCCAAGGCTGGTAAAATATCTATGAGTAAAAATTTGCAAACTTTTTTAGAATCTCTTCAAAGCTGTGCTCTTTGTAAACATAAAGTGGTTTCATGGAACAAGATCACAGTTTGTCGATACTTTTGCATTCTGTTGAGTTTCTTGTATGCTCATATGAATATTAAGACATTGTTACTATGAGATATAACTGGAGCTGCCTTAACCATGTAGGGATTGCAGTCTTTTCAGAAATAGCCAATACCATTTCAGTGGGAGCTAACAGGATTCATATCATGCTTTTAAATCTCTGCAATAGCTTTTGAAGCAGTTCAATCAAATATTTTGGTTTGTATATTGAAGAAGAATATATCTATATTTATCAGTCACTAGAATTTTAAAAAATGTATTATCAATCCAGAAATGTGGAAATATCGGAACAATAAACACCTATACATCCACAATCCAGTTTTGACCACTGTTAATATCTTGCCATCTTTGTTTCATCTCTATGTATGAATATATATGTAATGGCTAAATATTTTAACTAGTATCTCAAAATATTAAGAACCTGGTTTCCTACGTCACCACTATCCCATTGCACAAAATTAAAAATAATTCCATATCCTTTAAGGTTGATTAATGTCTTTAAGGTTGATTTGTTCAGGAACCAAAGAGACAAAATTAGTTATCCTGTTGAATATTCCATGTTCTCTTTTTATCTGATTGCCTCTTCATGCTGTCATTTAAGTCATCCCTCTGTCATCTACATTTTTTGTAAGCACTGTGTTGGATCTAAAAGCAGGATCAAATTCTGGTTAAATATTTTTTGCAAGAATGTCTTCTATGTAATGCCATATACTTATAGTGCTTCATATATAAATATAAAATCAATGGCAGTCCCACTATTAGGGATGCTAAATCACTGGGTTAAGATTGATTGCAATTGTTGATATTTTCTCAAAGTTGTATATTTTTGAAAGAGTGTTTTCTTTCTTTAAAGGATAGATATTAATTGTGACAGAAAAAAATTGCAGACTGAAATGAAGCCATGCTCAGTGGCAATATATTCTGCCTTAAATATGTGTTTGGATGTTTTTCACTGGTCTGGATCACATTATAACATGGCTCATTTTTCTTTTGGGTGCTGGAGGAATGGACAATAGCATTGTTTCTAGGGCCATATTTGTGCATCTTTTCGGAGCTATTCAGAGCTATTGATTTTCCTGAACAACCTCCTAAAGTCCTGGGAAGTGTGGATCAATTTAATGACTCTGGCCTACTGATGGCATATACACCAGTCAGTAACATAGCATGAAGGTTAATGAATAAGACGGCCTTGGCTTCCTTTATGAAATGTGTGTTGTCCAATAACCAATGTTTCAGTATTATGTAACTTAATTTCAAATTCTCTTTGCAGGTTGAATTTACTTACCTGATCTATGGGTCAGTGATTCTCAACTGAGGCAAACATTCTCATTATATATGCAGTACAGGGGTTGGTATAAAGCTAAGGGCAGGTGGGTAAGAGACAAAATAGATTTACTTTTTAAATTTTTGTTATGACACACATACCCTGTGCTCTTTCTACTAGAACATACTGTTGCAGTAGGAAAAAAAAGAAAAGATTGGGCCCATTTTAGATGATACAAATTTCACTTTTCCCAAACTTAACAAATTTTCTATTTGGGTTGGCATTCTATAGTTTAAAGAGTTTCAAAAAATTTTAAGAATTCACTTATTTTCATTTTGGATTGAAATAAATATAATTCCTAGAATATAGGAACTATATTTGCTATATAGTTCTAGAAACTATACATACTATATAGTTCCTAGTATATAGGAACTGTAAATCAAAGATGTTTGAAATTCAGACTCAAGTTTAACATTGGCATTGAAAAAGCATTACTGTTTGGTGTATAAAAATCGTTAAAATGTATAGCTCAGGGCATGTAATATCTATTTAAAGTCAAACCAGGTACTGGCTACTGAAAGTCAACAAATTCAGGGCCCTTGATCATAGAGTAGTGAGGTGTTTTTTTTTGGTTTGTTTGTTTTTCCCCTAGGACTTCCTCTGCGTATATGGACTCAGAAAATAGAGATCTCTTATGTAGGCTGCTGCATTAACTTGATAAATGCATCTTATAAAGAAATACAAACACCTGAGAGTCATACTTATTGTGTGAGACCTTTGCCTACCATCCTTTATATCTCTGCTGACATTAGGAGTAACTATTGACTGTCAGCTATGGTCTCTAACCTGCTCCATAGAGGCCTTTGCTCCTGCATAGGCAGGTATCAGGATAAACTTTTCTTTCCTTCAATAATCTTAGCCTACCACCAGATTTCTCTTGTTGTTAGCCCCCACTCTGTCAGGGTTCCAAACACTGGCCATTTCTTTCATCCTTTTGTACATTTTACCCAAGCTGTTAACATTTCAGTTCTAATCACTGCTTTTTCTTGTCTTTCTGAAACTTATTTGGTTTTTTGGTATCTGGATTGCCATGCCAAGGGACACCTCCAAGCTCTGAATTTTATAATTATTTTATGCAAGTTACTAATATTCTGTGCCTAACCTAACTGAGCTTTGGAATTGTTATCCCTGGCTGCTTTACTCTGTTTTCTAATTCTTCATTGTAGTTTCTGGAGTTTTGACTTTGATCGGCCTCCCTTACTTGCATTGTTTACATGTCCTGCCTGACCACAGTGTTGATTCTGCCCTATCTGTCTCTACCTACTTCCTTTGTGTAGTCATTTACCTCATCTCTTCTTAACTCATGAAGCATTTACTGAAGCCTCAGGGACTATTCTTCCTGTATGTGCAGTGTAAACTACTGGCCACTTTCTGTCTTAGTCTCATGGACCATTGGAATCTGTCCCTTTCTTATATAAGATATCTCATTCCAGCTACCATACTGGCCTGCTCCTACCACAGCTCCTCTCTCACCATCTTATTCTACATTTATCTAAGCCCTGCTTTTTAGCATAAATATTCATGGGTTGGCCTTGACAGTATTTTTTAATACCTCTAGAGAAAATCAGTGATGTTAGCATTGTCCTCATAAAAGTTTCACAGCCTGACTCTATATTTGGAAGAATAAGGAGTTTTGAAAGCTGCGACTACAGGATAAAATAAACAGCTTTTTCATCTTAATGTAGACGTCATCCTAAGTGAGATTTAAAATTAATAAACATTTAGAACATAATACATAAACATGTGAAAAAAGGAGGCAGTAATTGAACTTCTGTGGTTTTCAAAGCTTCTAATAGTAATAGATCTATTAAACACTTATTGGGTGGATTACTTCTGCAGATTGTAAACTCATTCATTATCCACTGATTACTATGTACTTTATTCTTGAGAGTGTTCTTGACCTCAGAGAATCTGTAGGTGGACTATACTTTTGATTTTTGTACTCTGACTCTTTGTATACAATTTACTTCTACTATTATACTATTTTCATGTGATAGACACCAGTTTATAATCTTGGCAGAAAAAAAGAAAACACCAAATTCTCAGTATTTATGTTGCTTCCTTTAAATATTTTTCCTTTTAATTCTTAAATTATTTTAGTCACCAAAGTAATCTCTACTCTAAAAAATCTTAAATAGTACAAACTTATATGAAGCAAAATATGAGAGCTTTTCCTTTTATCTTTGGCATTACTTCCTCTCCTCTCCTCCTCATTCAAATTGTATATGTCTTTTAAGGCAAATATGCACATAGCCATATATAGAATATGTTTCTATGCTTACATAGGCACACAAATTCAGTTTTTCTTTACCAAAATGAGATCTCACTAAAAACAATATGCTGCAGCTTTTTAAAAGACAATATATCATTTGTTTCTTTTCATGTATTTACATTGAGCTTGAAACAATACACTTTCACTTAGCCTTTTACTAAGAGGCAACTATCCAGGAATATTATATAATAGCACTCTAATTTTATATAAAACAAGCAATTGCATTTTGTTTTTATGTCCTCTAGTAATAAGTTTACATGATTATATATTTATATTTTTCATACGTGGTAGGAAGAACAGTCATTGGGACACCAGATGAAGAGATCATGGATATAGTACTTCCAAAAAAGTACCATTAAATGGTGGGAGTTGTATTTAGTGATACTTTTTCCTATCAGCTGAAGTTTAATTGGGGATATAGAATCCCAGTTTTAAAGGAACACTCTGAATACACAGGTAACTATACAAAAACTGATTATAATATTATTTTGCTGTTTTATGGAATCCCCATTTCCCCCTGAACTTAATCATCAGTTTTTACCTTAGGATGAGTCTCATTATTTTGGCAACTATTCATATGTTCTTTTTTTTTTTTTTGGAGACAGAGTCTCCCTCTGTCGCCCAGGCTGGAGTGCAGTGACGCCATCTTTGCTCACTGGAAACTCCACCTCCCAAGTTCAAGTGATTCTCCTGCCTCAGCCTCCCGAGTAGCGGGGACTACAGGCATGCACCACCACACTAGGCTAATTGTTTTTTGTATTTTTAGTAGAGTTGGGGTTTCACCATGTTGGTCAGGCTGGTCTCAAACCCCTGACCTCAAATGATCTGCCTGCCTTGGCCTCTCAAACTGCTGGGATTACAAGCGTGAGCCACTGTGCCTGGCATCATATGTTCTTTTTTTCTCTAATTTTGTAGAGTACTTTAAAAATCCTCTATATCATATAATAATAGGCTTTGAGCTACATTTAGATATTTTTATTTTTGAGCCAAAGTTAGTTTTAATTCCAACAGTTGACTCCATTATGTAACTATGGACATGTTTTTCTTCTTCCTTAAAGAACACTGTTGGGCCATGAATGGTGAAAATTTTTGTTACTTGGCAATGTTCTAGCTAAAAGGGATTGTAGCTTTTCAAGCTGCAATTAATGCTGCAATTACAGAGGTAAGTGCCTAACTTCAAAGCTATATTTTAAATCTGTATTTTTCTGTCTCTTCTAATATCTACCTCATCCCCTATCTTACCCATGCAATATTAGGAGATGATACTTTGCCTCTCATCCTCAGAGAAAATAAAAGCTGTCCATTGGGTATATCTTCCAACTTGTAACATAAATCCTGAAAAAAACTACAGACCTACAACGCCCTACATCCATTCTTTTCCTTGTTTTTTTTTTTTTTTTAATTTTATTTTACTTTAGGTTCTGGGGCACATGTGCAGGTCATGCAGGTTTGTTGTATAGGTGCATACTATATCCGACATTTCTCTCCATGTTCCCTCGCCACACTTCCCACCCCGCATTGTCCCTCCCCTACCCACCCCCCAAATGACCCTAGTGTGTGATACTCATCTCCTTGAGTCTACGTGTTCTTATTGTTCAACACCCACCTATAAATGAAAACATGCAGTGTTTGATTTTCTGTGGTGTCAGTTTGCTGAGAATGATGATTTCCAGATTCATCCAAGTCCCTACAAAGGACATGAACTCATTGTTTTTCATGGCTGTGTAGTATTCCATGGTGTATATGTGACGCATTTTCTTTGTCCAGTCTACCACTGATGGGCATTTGGGTTGGTTCCAGGTCTTTGCTATTGTTAACAGGGCTGCAATTAACATACGTGTGCATGTGTCTTTATAGTAGAATGACTTACAGTTCTTTGGGTATATAACCAGTAATTGGATTGCTGGGTCAAATGGAATTTCAATTTCTAGATCCTTGAGTAATTGCCACACAGTCTTCCACAATGGTTGAATTCACATTCTCACCAACTGTGTAAGAGTGTTCCTGTTTCTCCACATCCTCTCCAGCATCTGTCGTGTCCAGATTTTTTAACGATCGCCATTCTAACTGGCGTGAAATGGTATCTTAATGTGGTTTTGATTTGCATTTCTCTAATAACCAGTGATGATGAGCATTTTTTCATATGTTTGTTGGCCTCATATATGTCTTCTTTTGAAAAGTGTCTTTTTATATCCTTCGCCCACTTTTGAATGCAGTTGTTTGTTTTTTTCTTGTAAATCTGTTTTAGTTTTTTGTAGATTCTGGATATTAGCCCTTTATCAGATGGGTAGATTGCAAAAATTTTTTCCTATTCTGTTGGTTGCTGGTTCGCTCTAGTGATGGTTTCTTTTGCTGTACAGAAACTCTGGAGTTTAATTAAATTAGATCCCATTGGTCTGTTTTGGCTTTTGTTGCCAGTGCTTTTGGTGTTTTAGTCATGAAGTCTTTGCCTATGCCTATGTCCTGAATGGTTTTGCCTAGGTTTTCTTCTAGGGTTTTTATGGTGTTAGGTCTTATGTTTAAGTCTTTAATCCATCTGGAGTTAATCTTAGTGTAAGGTGTTAGGAAGGCGTCCAGTTTCTCTTTTCTGCACATGGCTAGCCAGTTATCCCAACACCATTTATTAAATAGGGAATCCTTTCCCCGTTGCTTGTTTTTGTCAGGTTTGCCAAAGATCAGATGGTTACAGATGCAGTGATAAAATCTCTCAGCAATTGCTTGTTTGTAAAGGATTTTATTTCTCCTTCGTTTATGAAGCTTAGTTAGATTGAGTA